TTTGGGAAAATTTTGAAAAGTCATAACTTTTTTTCTATTATAGATAGAAAGCTGAATCTTTCACTGAAAATTATCCTTTTCAAAGGACTACAATCCCTGAAAATTTCAGCTCATTGACACTTATAGTTCCTGAGATAAAATCGTGCTAAGCAATTGTGGTGATTTATCAATTTTTCAATTTTTCTGAGTGCCTTTTTTCATGGATTTTGGCTTCAAATCTGAGAATAATTTAGTTTATGGAGTTCAGGGTATCACGAGGGACCATTAGGACACAAAATCTCGACAAAAAAAAATTTGAAATTTCATCGTTTTAGTAGGAAGGTACCCCCCTTATGATTTTTTTGGAAAATTTTGAAAAGTCATAACTTTTTTTCTATTATAGATAGAAAGCTGAATCTTTCACTGAAAATTATCCTTTTCAAAGGACTACAATCCCTGAAAATTTCAGCTCATTGACACTTATAGTTCCTGAGATAAAATCGTGTTAAGCAATTGTGGTGATTTATCAATTTTTCAATTTTTCTGAGTGCCTTTTTTCATGGATTTTGGCTTCAAATCTGAGAATAATTTAGTTTATGGAGTTCAGGGTATCACGAGGGACCATTTAGGACACAAAATCTCGACAAAAAAAAATTTGAAATTTCATCGTTTTAGTAGGAAGGTACCCCCCTTATGATTTTTTCGGAAAACTTTCAAAAGTCGTAACTCTTTTTCTATTATAGATAGAAAGCTGAATCTTTCACTGAATTTCATCCCTTTCAAAGGACTACAATCCCTGAAAATTTCAGCTCATTGACACTTATAGTTCCTGAGATAAAATCGTGCTAAGCAATTGTGGTGATTTATCAATTTTTCAATTTTTCTGAGTGCCTTTTTTCATAGATTTTGGCTTCAAATCTGAGAATAATTTAGTTTATGGAGTTCAGGGTATCACGAGGGACCATTAGGACACAAAATCTCGACAAAAAAAAAATTGAAATTTCATCGTTTTAGTAGGAAGGTACCCCCCTTATGATTTTTTTGGAAAATTTTGAAAAGTCATAACTTTTTTTCTATTATAGATAGAAAGCTGAATCTTTCACTGAAAATTATCCTTTTCAAAGGACTACAATCCCTGAAAATTTCAGCTCATTGACACTTATAGTTCCTGAGATAAAATCGTGCTAAGCAATTGTGGTGATTTATCAATTTTTCAATTTTTCTGAGTGCCTTTTTTCATAGATTTTGGCTTCAAATCTGAGAATAATTTAATTTATGGAGTTCAGGGTATCACGAGGGACCATTAGGACACAAAATCTCGACAAAAAAAAATTTGAAATTTCATCGTTTTAGTAGGAAGGTACCCCCCTTATGATTTTTTTGGAAAATTTTGAAAAGTCATAACTTTTTTTCTATTATAGATAGAAAGCTGAATCTTTCACTGAAAATTATCGTGAATTCAAGGTAAGATTAGACGTTAAGAATTATTCATCATTATTGCGAAAAGGTATACAGTGTGATTTTTTAGCTGTGTTATACCGGGTGCCATTTTTGTATCGAGCGTCCAGTAACCCGCATTCGGGGTACCCGACCTCGGCACGTATCAAGCGTACGGTAATACGAAAATCACTCGGAATACCGTACGCTCGATACTCGCGCTCACAAACACGAATGTCTTTTTGAGTTTCCCTTGGCTCCTCACCATGAAGCCACTTGATAATATTAGTAAATTTTGGATCTGGCAGTCGAATAAGAAGCTTGTTTTCTTGATGTATATGTGGTAAACATAAAGCAATTTCAATAAGGTACTTGCATGAAAAATTAAATTGGTTTTTGTCTATTGCAAACTGTAGTAAATCGAAAAAAGATCGAAGCCTGTTTTTCTATTTTGCCCAAAGACGATTATTTCGAAAGGTATACAAATAATAAGTTTTGTATACATTTAGATATACTGGGCATGTGCGACGTCATAACGTATCATAAGTTATGACGTCATACGCACATTTCATAGCGTTGCATCTCCGTCAATTTTCGACTAAGAGCCGTTTTACACGGCACAGTTTCTTCACGAAATTATTCACGAAATTATTGCCGGAATATTTCGTAAGTTCACTATTCTTGGTTTCGCTTTTTCCTGTTTGATACGGCAAATAAAAGTCTAGCAAAAGTTTCGTGGAAATATTAGTCATACGCAGGCGCAGTTACGTTTTGCCATCAATAATATCAAATCATAATCTCATACTTTGATAAACCAAAACAAATAAAACTTCCGTTTCCTAATTCACCAGTTTCCCCCACCCTTATTACTGAAGATACGAAAAACAGCCTAATAACTAGAGAAGGGCATATATGCAAAGTGCATATTTTGCATAATTTGCATATTTTATGCATTTTTAATTCATTCTGCATATTTCTTCGAAATCCTGAAAATAGTGCCTAAAATCTATCAAATTTAGACAAAAGGTTTCAATAAAAGAAATAATTTTTAAATATTCAACCATTCAGCAGGTACGTAATTACCGGAAAACCCACCGTGAATGATCCTTCACTGAGCCTTGTTATGGAAATTGCACCACTATTCATACTGGTGATTAAAACCTAATTCAACCATTAACTACCTACCTGAGTATGTACGTAATTTGG